AAAGATTAGGATGTTAGTGCATGACAACCCTAACTGTCAACTAGCAACATTGACACAACTGCCCCCCATATATGATTAAATTACATACCTTCCCATTCACATAACATCTGGTTGGGGAGATATTCTCTTTGATTGTTATCCATTTCCTTGGATTATATATTCAGTGCTCTCTTAACAATTAGGATCTCACCTTGCACTGGGACTTCTAAACTTTCTTCAGAATTATCTAGTGATGTTATACTATCATCATCACTACTGTACTCAATGACACTCTCTATCTCACAGTTGTCTCACAATAACATGATATTTTTGTTGGGGCATTGCGTGACGATGTGTCCAACTCCAAGACAAATAAAACACTTAATAGAACTTTGTTTTGGAATAGTAGTAGGTGGTTTAAGGTTACTATTAGATTCAGTAAACCTAGATTTGTCCCTCCTTCTGGGCTATCTAGAACTATATTGAGGTGCAGACTAGTAATTTCCTCTAGAGGAGGCACTGTTCTTCAGTTGTCTCTCAATCTTTATAATCATGTGCACCATCCCTTCTAGATCTATATAGTGAGTAGCTCCACAACATTGATAATCTCCCTATTCAGACCACTCAGAAATCTAGTCATGGTGGCTTCTGACCTCATAAATTCTGACCCTAATCATTGCCATCTCCATTTCCTTGTGGTAGTCTTCTACGGACATGGATCCCTGGATCAATCCTTGGAGCTTTTGGTGCAATTCTCTGTCATAATGAAATGGAATAAAGCTTTTTATCATGATAGATTTCATCTCTCTCCATGTGAATATAGGTTGGTCTCCATCTTTTCTCTTGAGAGCTGTCACTTGATCCCATCAAATAAGTTCATAATTTGAGAACTCGACTGCGGGTAGCTTCATTATAGTTGTGGCAGTAAAAAATCAACTGTATTTTCTGTTCTCACTCGAGATAGGTCTCTGCATCATTCCTGCCTCTGAACGGGAGTATCTGCATCTTGATGGATTTGATGTCATCATCTTCCTTACAGACTTTTCTTCTATTGACTTCACTATTGTCACCATAGTACTCATTATCATCCTGGCAGTATCGGCGTCTGGGATGGCTACGGTTCCTTCCTCCATCTCTCTCATCCATCCTTGTTGCTATGCCTTCATTGAATAAGCTCAGTTTATTATACATGTCATCCATCAACCTTCATGCAAAGGTCATAAGTCAGTTGATTTCATTAGGCTGTGACATATATGAAAAAAAGATGTTAATGGAAAAAAAAAAGAAATCACTCTCTCACAATCACTTGTGTTTACCTCCATGTTTTCTTCCATCAAGTAAAGTGTTGGAATTGGATCTCTTGAATTAAGACAACTAAGGTTGTCTTTAAGACTCTGCAAAAAATCCTAAAAAGGATCTTGTTCTCTAAAAGCTCAGCGGTAAACACACAGAAGAAGAATATGTGATGCTTTTATGCTTATAGCTAAGTAGTTAGGATGCAATTAACCACTTAGATACATAATAGAACTAGAGCATTAAAGAAAGAATTAAACTAGGAGTAGAAGAAAGACAATTCTGGACTTAAAGCGTTAAGGACCTGGTTAACCCCTATGGATATAATTGGAATGCTATGCCTAATTATTATATTCCAATGATAGTTGCGCTCTATGACTCACTTGAGTTTCTATGATGTAGACATTAATGCACAATAATGAATGCACTATTGTAAAAAGAAAACAAGGGAATCACGCACTTTTTTGAATTTTGATCTGGTAGTTGATTGGCCTTGTTTGGATTAATACTTGATATTAGAATTTGCGACTTCAGAAATTTTTTTTTTTGCTCTTTATTTTTTTTTATTATAACGACAATAATAAGGAAATTCCTTGAAAAAGACTAGATGAATTAGCACTTTATGTAACAAGTGCTAATTTTTATGCAAAAAGTAAATGTAAGGTAGTAAATCGAAAGATAATAGATTTACCAGAATCTAATCTTTGATATCAACTGATGTAAAATCTGGGATCAACAACGCAATCTAAAATTCTGTATATACATCAGCAACCAAAAATTCAAAAATTTGAGTAAACCCTCCTTACATGACCTGCACTCAACAAGGGAGTGAAACTAAGGTTATAGGAAAAGAGACAAAGAACTAGAATTGAAAAGGCACCACGAGACTTACCTCGATAAGTGATCTTAATTCCTTGCTCAATAAGCGTGTTGAAGACACGCTCACTGAACTCATTCTTGGAAGGTTGGAAGCTAAAACAAAGATATCTAATCTTTTTAGACTTGCCATCCATTATTCTACTTGAATAAGAATTAAATATCCTAATCTGATTCTTATTTCTACTTCAAATAGGAAACTAAAACTTAATCTAAAATAAACTCAATTGAATTAAAGATAGGATCATTTCGTTTGGCAGCTTGTAAGATTCCTTCTTGGACTCTCATTCATTTTTTTCCTTCTCCCCTCTTCATACAGTCTTCTTCTTCAAGCGGTCTTCTTCTTTGATTTTATTTTCTGATTTGAATTAGGAAAACTTGTAGGAGCTGGCGGTTCAAGGGATGAATTCCATGTTGCTCTTGGATTGGATGTCATGCCGCGGGTGGTATGTGTTCTCCTCCTCCCTTGCCCTTTTCTGCTTCTTTCTCTGTTTCTTATGTCCGCAA